CCAATTGAAAAATGGGCACAGGATATTGACAACTTTTTGAGAAAGCACCAAACTGCCTTCCATAGTGCCTGTACCATTTTACACTCTGACTAGCAGTGATTAAGGGTTCCAATCTCCCTACAACCTCACCAGCATTTACTGTTTGCTGCTTTGTTGAACTCTGCTATTGTTGCTGGGGTGAGATGGTATCTCACAGTTTTTATTTCCATCTCTCTAATAGCTGGAATTTTGAACATCTATTCATACAACAGAATACTACGCAGCACTGAAAACTAATGAACTCATTAAACATTACACAACATGCATGACCCTGGAGGACATTATACTGAGTGAAATATCTGTCACAAAAGGACAAACACTGCACAGCCCCACTGTTATAAAGAAGCTCTGACATGGGGGGGTTGGGAGGAGAATAAAATAAGAGTAGATGGCATTTGGCTGAAAGAATGGGATAGCAGAAGGATGTGCAAAGGCATTTGAATGTGTGGATTGTAAGATATTATGGCTAACACTGAGAAGAATGGGAACATTCGAACACTTGAAAGTACTCATGTGAAACCTATCCCTAGACCAGGAGGCTGTTGTGTAAACACAGTAAGGACACCCTTCATGGTTTAAAATTAGTAAAGGTGTGCATTAGGGCTTGATCCTTAAAGAAGGGGCAAACAGGGTTCTCTTCAGGGGAAAGGATGATGAAACATGTATCACATACTGTGGGCATGTTAACAGTGGCCAGTCTTAGAAAAAAAAGTAAGCTGGGAAAGGTGAAGAATCAGCAAAAGAGAAAAGGATCCTCAACACTGTGGATTGACACAATGACATAAAATGTCTCAAGTGTATCAGAGATGATGAGGATGACACAGACTAGGGCAAGGTTCAGAGGGTCATTATGAGTCATGGTTGACATGATATCACCTAACAACATGCTGTGGTGCAAGATTCAGTCTCTTTCTCTTTTTTGGTCTTTTCCTCTTTCTTTGAATTTTACTGAGTTTTCGGTTTCTTCATGTATGATTTCACTAAAGTCATCCATTACTGGTCTGATCTTTTGTCCTTTTGTGTGCAATGCTTCTAATCTCTTCTTCATACAGTTTCTAAATTCAGGTGGAATATACTCAGGGTCTTATTTTGGCTCTTACGGATTTGTTTTCAGTTTCTTCAGCTTCAGGTTGAACTTACACAGGAATAATTGATGGTCTTTTCCGGAGTCAACCCCTGGCCTCATTCTGACTGAAGATACTGACCTTCACCACCATTTCTAATTTGCAGTGAGTGACTTGTTTGTTCTACAATATTTTAGCATGCCATCTCTAGCTTTATTTCTATCAGACTACCTACATTGGTAAAAATCTTCAATGTTTTCCATCTTTGGCTTTAGAAATTATGTATATCTTTGAATAACATTGTAGTAACAGCTGATAGCACCATACTTCAGGAGTATCTTGAAAGTTTCTTTTGATGGTGGGTTTAACACCATTCATCTTCAAGTAGTCTACCTGGAATAATAGTCCAGGTTACTGTTGTGGGAATCCAAATATCAAACTTCTAATAACTAACCAAATGCTGTATCAGGATATGAGGGAGGCATAAATACAAGCTGGAACTTCCCCTGAGACAGGTCATAGGAGTCAAGCACCTAGGTAGACCTAAGGCATCCTCACAATTCTTGGATTGTATTTACTAATCCCTGGGACTGGAATAAGCATAAGGTTGACAACAGAAAAAAATCAACTTCATTTGCAAATGTTCTCTCTTTGTGATTTACTTCCCAATGATTCTCACTAAAACTACAGAAAGGTATGGCTTGAGGGCTTCAGTTTTCCAGAAGTTCACTCCCTGTCTTTATGCTCTGTTTTTCCTCCACTCCTGGTATCCTGTCTCTTTCTTTCTTCTTTTTCTTAGGCTGACAAAAGACTGTTCCACTCAAAATGGTCACTACCAGTCCATTTCAGCTCATCCAAGTCCAGAATATCAATCTTTATGAATCTCATTTCATTTTTCACAACTTCAAATTTTCCTAGTTTCAGACTTCACACATTATTATGTTGTTGTTAGGCGCCACTGAGTTGAGCCCAACTCACAGCCTATGGACAACAGATTTGAACCCTATCCTATCCTATGCCAACATCACAAGCTGTAACACACTAGAGCCTATTGCTGCAGTCATTGTGTCAATCCACCTTGTTGATGGTCTTCCTGTCCTTCATGTCTTTCTTCAATGAATAACCCCTCCTAGCAACATGCCCAAAGTATGTGAGATGAAGATTAGCCATCACTGCATCCAAGGAACATTTTCCTGCATCTTCTTCAAGACATATCTGCCCTTTTGGCATTCCATGGCATGTTCAGTACTCTCCTCCAACATCTCTGTTCAATGGCATCAATTCTTCTTTAACTATCCTTATTCTTTGTCCAGCTCTCAGTAGTGTAATAAGTGATAGAAAAGATTATAGTCTGCCCTTAGCCTCAAGGTGACATAACTGCTCATTAATAACATGGAGAGGCTTCTGACTGCAGACTTTCCCAGTGCAATACATCTCCTGATCACAGCTGGTACCAAATGTATTAATTGTGGATTCTAGTAAGATGAAGTTGTTGACCATTTGCTTTTTTCCATCTAGCATGATTTGCCTGGAGGTTCAGTAGTGATAATTTTTATTTTCTTTATATGTTCATACATTATATGTTCCATATACTAATAGAGGATTACATCCCTTCTCCTCATTTTGAGTCTTGACACATCATTAAATGAAGGGTTTTGATTGGCTGAAAGCTTTACTCCAACCATGTTATTTGGGTAGATTACTCTAAGGAGGCATCTCTTCCACAATGGTATTTTGATGCCTTCTAAACTGATGTTAGTGATTTCTGCACTATATTGGACAATGATACACTGCTATTCATAGGGTTTTTAAAGGTCCATTTTATCAGAAGTGAATAGTCAGTCCTGCTTCCTATTTGGATTTTCTTAATTTATAAGTACTCCTACAGGTGTCTACTATGAGTGATCCTACTGCTATTTGAGATAAACGTGCACAGCTTCCACCATTATAGCACTATACAAGCTGCCACAGTACAACAAACTGACAAATGAGTGGTGGGGGTAAAAAATAAAAGCAGTCAATTCACAAGATAAGAAATAAATCCACTAAAAACACATCTCTAATAATTAAGAAGACAAATGAAAATGAGAACTATTTTATCATTAAATTATCAAAACTATTTAAAATGCAAATCCTAATGCTACTAGAAGTATAAAGATAAACATGAAAACATGTTGGTAAGAATTTGGTATACAATTTGTTGTGTTGTTATTGTTGTTAGCTGCTGTCGAGTCTAGTAAGACTCATAGTGACCCTGTGAACACTGAACCCAGTCCTGTCCTGCACCATCCTCACATTTCCTGACACACAAGAGTCCACTGCAGCAGTGACCTCGTCAATCTGCCTGGTTGAGGATCTTTCTCTTCTTCCCCAACCTTCCACCCTTCCCAACATCATGTTCCTCTCCAAGGAATAACACCTCCTAGCAACATGTCCAAAGTATGTAAGGCAAAGCCTCATCATTCTTGCCTTCAAATAGTACTCTGGCTGCACCTTCTCCAAGACATATCTGTTCGTTCTCTTGGCTGTCCACGGGATGGTCAGTACTCTTTGCCAACGCCACAGCTCAAAGACATCAATTCTTTGAAGTAGTGAATTTGAAAATGCTAATAATGTATTTTAATTGAATAATCCAACTTCTATTAATCACCTGCTAGGAAGTTAACTATGGGTTGGTTCTGACTCAATGACACAGAAGAAGAAAAAAAAAGATAATGGTAACTTCAGGGACTGCATTGTAGCAGCATTAAGGGCAAAAACTGGGATATAATCTAAATGCTCAACACATGGGACAAGAAATAGTGGTGGAATATTATTGTATAGCTTTATTTTTAAAATAGCATATATAAGAACAAAGAAATCTTTAAAGGTTACCATAGCTTGAAGCTGAGGAGCAACATAATCTCATCTCCAGTTACTATTATATAGGTTTTGTCACAATTTGGTCTAAATGTGTCATCCACAGTGGTCTTTTCTCTGATCATGAATCTGAGTGTCTCTCCAATTACTCATATCTTAAAGGTATCTTTATCAACAAATTATTTCTGCACTTTAAAAAACTCTCACATAAAAAAGACTAATCTTTAAGTCATTATGAATTTAAAATAAAGGTAACTTTAAAAAGAATAATTAGCAATTACCTTGTATATATGAAATAATAAAACTTAAATATTAGTCAATATTTACCTGCATCACTAGGGGTTCTTATTTCAAAGGCTAATAAATTTTCTTGCTTTTCTTCTATGTCTTGTAGAATGACATTCATTGTCTGATTTCTCTTATCCTTTTGATAAAAGCAATAGTAAATAAGATGCTTAAGAAAATGATCCTTTATGAAAGACTACAGAGTTACATTAAATTCTTAAATTATTTTTTAAAATAAAATCCTGCTAAAATTGGTAATTTCTTTTTATGATCTAATGTGCTCAAGCTTTACTTAACTTTCATTATAGACATAATGTACTGTTGTTGTTATGTGCCATCGAGTCGCTTGCGACTCATAGTGACCCTATGTACAACAGCCCTAAACCCTGCTCTATCCCTTGCCAATCTCACTGTCTCTGGCATGCCTATGCTCATTACCCCAATGATAGAATCAATTCATCTCATCCAGGGTCTTCCTCTCCTGCACTGTCCTTCCACCCTCCCAAGCCTGAAGTTCCTCTCCAAGGACTGGTCCCTCCTTGCAACATGTCTAAGGAATGTCAGAGGATGCTTCAGAATCCTTGCCTGCAAGGAACAGTGAGGTTTCACCTTCTCCAGGACTAACTTGTTTTTTCTCCTAGAAGCCCTTGGTACACTCAATACTCTTCTCCAGCACCAAAGCTCAAAGGCATCATCTCTCCTTCTATCATCCCTAGTCATTGTTCAGCTCTCTGAAGCATACATAGCAAGTAATGGCAAAGACCATGGCCTCTATCAGGCACACTTTTGTCTCCAGATTAACATCATTGCTTTGCAGTAACTTGAAGAGGTCTCTGACAGCAGACTTTCCCAATGCAATTAATCTTTTAATTTCCTGGCTGCTGGTTACCAAGAGTGTTGACTGTAGAGTCAAGCAAACTAAAGCTGTCAACAAGCTCAATCTCTTCACCATCTATCGTGATGTTGCTAATAAGCCCAGTGGTGATAATCTTTGTTTTCTTGATGTAGAGCTTCAATACATATTGAAGGCTATAATCCTTGACCTTCTGAAGCAAGCACTTCAGGTCCTCCTCAGTTTCAGCAAGCAGAATTGTGTCATCTGCATAATGGAGTTTGTTGGTAAGTCTACCTCCAGTCCTGATGTCACACTTCTCCTCATAGAGCCCAGCCTCCTGGATAATCTGTTCTGTATCTAGATTGAAAACATATGGAGATAGGACACATCCTTAATGCACACCCTTCCCAATTTTGTACCATGCAGTTACCTTGCTCTGCGCTGACAACTGACTCCCTAGTACAAGTTTCACAAGCACAATCAAGTGTTCTGGGATCCCCATTCCTCTCAAAGTCAACCACAGTTTGTTGTGATCTACACAATCAAGTGCCTTTGCATAGTCAATGAAACACAGACAGACATTCCTCTGGTATTCTCTGCTTTTAGCCAAGATCCATCTGGTATTAACTATAATATCCCTAACGCCACGGTCTCTTTTAAATCCAGACTGTACTTCAGGCAGTTCTCTGTTGATGTGCTGCTCTAGTAATTTTTGGATGATCTTCAGCAGAATCTTGTTTGCATGTGATATCAATGATATTGTTTGATAATTTCCACACTCTGTTGGATCACCTTTCTTTGGAATGGGAACAAATATAGATCTCTTCCAGAAGTCAGTAGGCCAGGTGGTTGCTTCTTGTCACAACTTGGTGAGCACATCCAGGGCAGCATCTGTTTGTTGAAATATGTCAATTGGTATGCCATCAATTCCTGGAGCCATGGTTTTTGCCAGTTCTTTCAGAGCATATTGAACTTCCTCCTTCATCAACACAGGCTCTTGCTCATGCATTGTTTCATTAAATTCTTTTGTGTCCACCAATTCCTTTTGGCAAAATGACTCTGTATACTCTCCATCTTCTAATAATGCTTCCTGCATAATTTAGACACTTAAATGTATTTTACTTTATGTAGCAGATCTACTTCTAGAAAAGAAAATATAAAAATAACAACTGTATTATTTTTTCTAATTTTTTTTAATTTAAATTTATTATTAATTTCAGTAAAAATTTACAGAGACTTTGGATTTCCATTCATTCATTGTTGCAACAACCATATTCTGATCAGACTTTTTCACTGATTTTTGTTATAATTAGGGATATGTTGTGTGCTGTGGAGTTACTTTTGACTCATTAAACTTTATAGACTAGAGCAGAACTGTCTCATGGGGCTTTCAACATTGTAAATATTATGGAAGCCAACTGATAAATCTTTTTTCCCATGAAGTTATTGGTAGGTTTGAATTGCTGACTTTTCAGTTAGCATCAGTGTACTTAACTACCACACCATCAGGGCTTTTAAAATTATAAGTATAGGAAAGGAAAAAAATACTACTAATCAGCACACTGCTATTAAAAGTCACATATATGCAACAACTTCACTGTAAGGATTTATGAACTACTCATTTCACAATATTAAAATTTGAAACTAAATGTCAGGAATGAAAACACACTATTCTCTCAAAAAAAAAATCATAAGGGTGATTTAATACCCTACGTGCCTTTGTTAGTTTTACTCCCCCTATCTGAAATTTCAACAACTCACTGCTCAGATCTTCTCTAATAAGAAATGGAATCATAGTGTGTAGGCTCTGGAATCAGACGGCCTACATATGAATTCCAACTCTACCTCTTTTTATAACAAATTATCTATCTAGTCTTTGCCTGAACTGAGTAATACATATGAAATATTTAGCTCTGGTGGCCTAGTGGTAGAGAATTGTGCTGCCAACTCAAAAGTACTTGATTTGAATGGGCACTGGTTCCAACTTAATGGTACTCAACAATAACTAAGTAACATTAAAAAAAACTCAATACATGCTGCTTATCAAATCCGTATCATTTACAAAACCTCTGGCTGAAGATCTGAACTTGCACCCATGAAAAGCCTTTAGGATAAAGGAAATATCTTTCGATGCCAACTTTGTTTTCTGTCTTGCCTCACACTGTGGGTGCACTCACTCAGATCCACCATGCACCAAAACCTCACACTTCATGTCAATTCCACATTCCACCTGTCCAGCATAAACTTACCACCAAGATCTCTTTCTCTGCCATTCATTATTACTTCTCATACCCAAAGAAATCATTAAAATATCCTAAACTAGGATCTGTCTTTGCAATAGCAGCTTTAGATACTTTTCATTCTATCTACTGCAAAGCTTCACTATGAATTAATTCTAAACTTGCTATTTTTACTATGGCAAGATCATCTTTGCTTCTGACTCTTTTCTTACAATTTTATTCTATATAGCAGAGCAGTTAAGAGTACAGGTTTTAGAACCAGGCTTAAACCTGTCATCACTACTTAATAGAAATGTCATCTTGGATAACATTACCTAATTACTCTTGCTTTAGGTTCTTATTCTACAATGATAAAGGTAATAAGAATAACAAAAGTTAAAAGACAAGGTTCAGATCCATTGTGCAAGGGGTCACTATGAGTTGCAGTTGACTTGATGACACCTAAAAACACCACCATCACCCAAAGAGGGTTATTATGAGGACTAAGTGTGTTAACAGAAATTGTTTAGAAGATAATTAAACAGAAAGTACTCAGTAAATGCAAAAAACTATTATTATTATTTTTGAAATAATAATTATGACTATATACATGCTATAATTGGTAAGTATTACAAGGCAGCACTAAACTAATCTCATTTGCTTTAAGTCTAACTCTACTGCCGTTTCCTTCCATTTGGCTAGACATTTTCAATATCCAACAATTTCACATTTGTGTAAGACAAACTCTTAATGACACTGAAGTTTTTAATCTATTTTTTTAAGTTGGCTTTCTTTAGATTTCTAGATCTTTATTATATTTTGTGTTTTGACATAGAAAATTAAATATATTATTCCAGGAGCAAATAACTGTGTAGTTATATAACAAGAGGTATTTTAAAAAGAATAATGTGCCAATCTTTGCATAGAAATATACCGAAAAGATCTTCACAGTTAATATAGTGAAATGAACAGGTTTAGAAAAACCCTTGTGCATTCTAAATAAATGGAAACATTGAATAAAAGTTTAATAATCTTTAAGTGCACACAAAGAGACACAAACACACATACATTCAAGAATGGAAAAAAGAAAAGGAATTCCCCTGGCGCAAGAAATTAATCTAGAGTGGTCATAGGAGATTTGGGAACAGTTCTCAGGGGCTGAATTTTTAAGGCCACAAAAGGAGAAGAGACAAAATGTCAGGACTACTAAATCAGGTTGTTTTCTTCTTTTTTATCTGGATTCTGGGGCCACTGTATATCCTAAATACATTTGGAGATACATTATAGATACATTATAACAGTGGCAGTGTCTTGGGGAAAAAAAGTTTTATCACCAAAACCGGTATAAAGAACAGAAGCAAATAGTTCTGCATTCAATGCAGAAAAATGAGAAGTAAGCAAACAATGCCTTCTTAGCTTATTCTATTCAGTAACATTACTTTCTCATGATACACACAAAAATGTTCAATCTGTATATTCTTAAAAGGTAACTGAATACTACCAACAACCAGCGGTTAGCTAGTCCCCAAAATGGCATTTTTATGCTGAAAATTTAAAAAATATTTCAATTTCACTCACCATAGGGAGGCTTTTACTTGTTTGTTCTTTGTGTAAAAAAGAAGAGGGATCCACAGTTTTGCAGTCATCACAAATACAATGCTTAGGTCTTTTCGACTGGACAGCACAACTTTTTACTTTAAAAAATTGAATTAGAAAATAAAATAAGTGCATATAAACACTTAGCATCATATCATCAGTTGTAACGGTAACAGAGATGAGAAGTAGAAATTGTCTACAATAAGTGTAATATTTTATCATATTTATCACCATTCATCTGTAAGTTTGTCGTACTGTGGTGTCTTGGATGTACTTCAAATATCATAGTAAATAGATTTCAGCAAAGGTTCCAGACTATGATAGACCAGAAGCAAGCTTGGATAAACATTTCTGAAATAATGAGCCCTTTACAAGCCTAACACTGTCTGGTATAATGCTAGACGATTGAAAGTCATTAAAATACTGCCAGGAAGCATTACCTACTTCCTCAAAATGGAGTTTACCTTAACAATGTGAATGGAGTAAAGCTTTAAGAAATGAAAGCCTAAAAAAAAAAAGAAATGAAAGCCTTTTCCTTTGCTCATGTGATACAATTCAAAATGAGGATAAATAGATGCAACCAGACAATTGAATGTATAAAGTAAGAATCTAGAAAAACTGAAGTTGTCAAAACTAAAATGGAATACATAAAGATGGATATCCTAGGCATCAGTGAGCAGAAATGGACTGGTACAGGCCATTGTGAGTGGCATGAACACGTGGTCTACTATGCTGGAACTGACAAACAGAAAATGTATATACTGTCAAATTCATAAAAAAAGAATTATTTTAAGATCTATCCTGAAGTACATAGCTGTTACTAATTGAATAATATCCATACTGAACAAGAAAGACTTGTTAATATGATTTTTTTTTCAAATTCACAAGCCAACCACTAAAGATAATGAAAATTTCTATAAAATTCTGGAGTCTGAAACTCATCAAACATGAAATAACGATGTATTAATAACTAATAATTACTGGTGATTAAACTGGAAACACTGGACATAAAGGAATATTGTTGGTGCTTTTAGGTGATGAGTCAGTTCTGACTCACAGCAAGCCCCTGTACAAGAGATCTGAAGGTTACCCTATCCTGCGTCATCCTCACCATCTCCAGTGTGCTTATGCTTGCAGACACAGTGCCAACGCATCTCACTGACCATCTTCCTTTTCTTCTCTCTCTACTCTTCCAAGCATGATGCCCTTTTCCAAGAACTAGTCCTTCCTGATAACACACCCAAAGTATGTGAGACAAAGTTTTCCCTTCCTTTCCTCCAAGGAGCACTTTGACTACAATTCTTCCAGCCTAGGTTTATTTCTTCTTTGTGCAATGCATCGTATATTCAATATACCTCATCAATATCGCAATTCCAAGTCATCAATTTTTCTTTGGCCTCCTTTTTCACTGTCCAACTTTTGCAAGCAAATAAAAGAATTGAAAACATTGAGACTTAAGTCAGGTGCACCCTAGCTCTCAAAGTGGCCTTTAGCTCCTTAGAAAGATCTTTGACAGCAGGCTGCTGTAATGGAATACACATTTTTATTTGACTGCTTCTTCCATGAGTGTTGACTAGACATCTGTGTAAAAAGAAACCCTTGATATCTTCAGTCATCTCTACAGTTACTATGATGTTGTCTATTGGTCCAAGAGTAAGGATTTCTGTTTTCCTTACATTGACATGTAAGCTATTGGCAGTTAGAAATATAGCCTTGGTGATTAAAAGTAAGGCCAAATATTTTATAAGAGAATTTTGCATAACGAAGAAATTACTTATTGCAAATACATTTTTAAAAAACTCAACATCCATACCTACTATACATATGGACCTACCAGATGAAATACACAAAAACTCAACTTCATTGTCATGGAGTTTGAACTAATACAGAGCCACCCTCCGTGGCTTCAGAAGGCTATAAATCTTAGAAAAGATGGCAAATCTTTCTCCAGTGGAGACAATGATAGAGTCAAACAGCCAGAGAGGTTAGCAGTGCAACTCACTGTGGACTAGGCCATCAGAGTTCCCTAATCTCACCTAAATTTAGAGACTAATTTAACTAATAACTGATGACTAGAATTGTGCAGTAACATCAAGAGCATAATACATGAAGAAAATACCTTTATCCTGATAATCCCCTAATACCTTTATCTACTCCTCTCATAATTTATCTCACTGAATACGATTTTTTAAATACATTGTGTTTCATTCCTGAAGACTGTGATACAATCATTTATATACATTATGTTTTAGAAAAGTAATCACCATTGAGTGCGATTGATATTATGTTATTGTTAAATGCTGCTGAGTTGAGCATGACTCATTGCGACCCTATGAACAAAAGACCTGAACCCTGTATTATAACTATTATTGCTTCTCTATGTTCATAGTTTCCAGAGGCATGTGGTTTAGGAAGTGGATGCCACTCCTGCTTCCAAACCAGAATCAATCTGGGAGCTCCAACAAACATAATGGATAACCATTATGGCATTTGACACACCAGTGGCACAGCATTCACCACCACAGCAATCCTAAGTTACTTCAATATGGTAACTGATGGACCAGTGCTGTACCACTTAGAAGAATGTCCATCCCAAACACAATTAACACCAGCCTGAGGGCAGCCTGCCCACAAGGTCATGGTTGACTTTAAACTAAGAGGCTTCCAGCTCAGAACTAATTCTTGGCTAAATGCAAAAAATCCAACCAGCTCACACCCAATTGAGAAAGAAAAACAAAACAAAAACCACCAAAACCAAATAGTCCAGACTTGATCCTCACCAAGACAAAAGAAACCATCATCCAGAATCCAACAGCTTCACACAGGAGCCTCCAAACACGTCTTTGTTGTTGTCATTATGTCCCATCAAGTCACCTGTGATCTACAGTGACCTTAAGTACAGCAGCTCTGAACCCTGCCCTGTCCTGGGCCAGTCTCACTAATTCTAACACACCAACCCCCATTGCCCTAGTTACCATCTCATCCAGGGTCTTCCTCTCTTTTACTGTCCCTCTACCCTTCTAAGAATAATGTCTCTCTCCAAGAACTGGTCTCTCTTGGCCATATGCCCAAAGTATGTGAGACGGGACTTCAAAATCCTAGCCTCCAAGGAGAAACTTGGCTTCACCCTCTCCAAGACAGAACTATTTGTTTGTTTGTGTTTGTTTTGGGTTTTAGTTTTTTTTTTTTTTTTGGCAGTCCATGGTATGATCACCTTCTCCATTAATAGACAGAGTTTATTAAAAAGACAAAATGGAAGGCAAGACCAAAATGGATGAAGAGACCCTGAAATTTACTCTAGGATGTAGTAAAGCTGAAGTGAAAAGAATGATGAAGTAAGAGAGCTGAATGGAACATTTTTTAAAAGGCAACTCCCAAAGAACTATAAAGAAATGTGTCAAGATTTATAGTTAGTAAAACCGAAAGGGAAGAACATGCTTAGCATTTCCTAAAATGAAGAAACTGGAAAAAAATATTCGAGTCTTAAGTTAACACATTGCCTCACACTTTTTAAATTGATGATCATGCTTAAAAACATATTTGCTGTCATTTGTGGCAACATGTTAAAATACTGAAGGATTCTATAGGCAAAATACTGAAAGAAGCAGGAAACATAAAAGATGCACAGATCCTGAATTCGATACACTCACCATTCTTCAAAAAGATAAAGTAATCATCAAATTTATATGATAAGAAATAGGTGTTGGATAACGAAAGCACTACTGAAGATTTAGTACTGGTATTTTCAATTGCTGTATGTGAAAGCTGGGACAAAAGGGGAAGATAAAACAATTTATGTCTTTGAATTGTGGCAATGATGAAAAATATGAATGTACAACAGACTACCAAATACCAATCAAATCTGTTTTGCAAAAGGTGTAGCCAAAGTGTTCTTTTAAAAGCAAGATTGGTGACATTTTGTTTTATATACCTTGGTCTTGACTTAACAGAAGTCAGGAACTCAAAGGATTTGTTGCACTGGGAAATATCTCCTATAAAGAATCTCTCCAAAGTTCTAAACAGCATGTTTAGAGAGAATCCTCAACACTTGTCTCTCATTCTCTCTCCAGGTTCATAGGGTTTCCAGAGGCAAGCTATTACAGAAGTGGATGCCAGTCCTGCTTCCAAGCTTGTTTTAATCGGGAGTTTCATCCAACACTATCCACCATGGGTAACCAACCATTAACACATTTGACACATCATCATTACACTGTTCAGCCTCACCGCAACCACAAGTTAAAGCTGTATGGCAAGTGGACACAATAGGGCTATAATGACCTAGAGGAGTGTTTGGACAAAAACAATGAAAGACAGGCCCAAGGGCCGCGGATTAAAAGTCACTCACATTTGGCTTGGTTGCATTGCTTTCAGTCTGCTGGGCCAGCTGATTATTCTCTATGTTGATGTTACTGCGGTAGCTTGTTTTAATCAGAGAGTTTCACCCAACACTGTCTGCCTCCCAAGGCTCTAGGCCTGGGCTATCTTTAAGTAACTTACCATTATCCAGCAAGCCCAAATGCTGGCAAACTCTGGGCCAGACACCCCAGCTCATCTGGCAAGTCCACTCTGCCAACCCTTACTTGGGGCAAATAGAATGCCACAAGCACCTGGGTCCCTCCATACCTGCGGCTCCTCAAGAAGCCAGAGGCCGCATGCAATTGACAATAAGCCTCCCAAGGCTCTAGGCCTGGCATGACCTTTATCAGGCATGCCCAAATGCTCACAAACTCTGGGCCAGACACCTCCACCTCATCTGGCAAGTTCACTCTGCCAACCCCCACTTTGGGCAAATAGAACGCTACAAGCACCTGGATCCCTCCATACCTGCGGCTCCTCAAGAAGCCAGAAGCTGCATGCAGCTGACAATAAGCCTCCCCTAAAAAGCATAGATGCTAGTTTAAAGACTAAGGTGATCCTGCTCCAAGCCATGCTATTTTCAATAATTTCCTAGGTATATGAAAGTTAGGGCCTGCTCTGGGAGCTATGACCATGCCAGGAGCAATGCACCAGGTGGAAACAACGTACTGGGAGTGACAAGCTGCGTGACGTGCCTGGAGTGAGCAGGAGAGCTGAAATTTGTGTGAGGTACTCTGTGGGG